CCGCAGATTGTTTCAGGGGGTGGACTGTCTAGGAAGCCCGGGAAGGAGGTAACTACAGTACCTCTTCCGTTCTCCGTCCATTCATCAAAGATGCGATGGATGAAGCAGTGAAAAACTTTGAAGGATAAAGCCCAGAGAAAAAATCAATCGCGCCTGATTGGGTGGCTCGTTCGAGATTATGTGGAGGTCACGTCAAAGAGAATCCGGTTGGGGAAAAGTCGCGATCGATGATGGATATTGAAAGTTTGGAACGTCTGGATGCAGTCGGTATTAAAAGCGGAAGAATTGAATAGTCGCATAGTCAAATAGTCCAGCAGTCAAGAAGCATCCCCATCTCTCCCCTCTCTCCCCTCTCTCGGCAGGACTAACTGGAAATAGACTGTAGTCGAGCACAGGCTGTTGCTTTTCAACGATGGATCGTCCAATTTTTTCGTCCATCTCAACGGTAGTCGTTCTTGGAGGAGGAAAACATGGACAATCATGACTTGGCTGGGGAGCGGAGATCCCGACGCCCGTCAATCTTCGTCGACTCGTTCGAGGGTCCTGCCTGAGACCGGCAACCCTCCATGCCAATCGGTCGGTATCGATGCTTTCATACCACCGTTGTAGGGGGAATGAATGATGGAGATCGCAGTGTACTATGTAGATAGTAACTCAAGTAGGTGAGGTAGTCCTGCAGGTTTAGGCAAGAGGCCACTCCGCATTTACTGGTTTGGTGTGCACATGCCGCGGCACTGGCAGTCAGACATTTCGAACTGGTTCATTGATTCAGGGGAGGGGCAAAGAGGAATTTGGAACCAGAAAAGAGAAGAGAAACAAAGACAATGCTACTGGGTGCTACTGGGTACAATTGAGAAATTCTAAAGGCAGAGATCAAACGTTGAGAAGAGCAAGATGGGACTGGGTTAGTTAGTTAGCTAATGTTCAGAGAGCTACAAGTCCTGCCGTACAAGTCTAACACTGGTACTTATCAGAATGGATAGTGTATCTTTCTGGGTCAATCTTTCCCACTCTGTTGTTCCAAGACCCACTCCGAACAACGATCTATCGTTTAGTTTGGAGACCGAATGCCAAAAGTAGTGTCCACTGAAGGGGGCGCCCGGAAGGGGCAAAGAAAGACAAAATGAAAATGAAGAATTAATAAAAAATAAAAAAAAAGGCAAATGAGAAAAAAGGAAAAAAAGGTTGCGCGGGTAGGCAGGGAAATTCTATTAGATTATGCTAGTATTAAAAGACCAGACCTCGAACATGGCGTGCCAACAGGATATCTCATGTTTTATATGTGGATGTGTTTGTTTTTGAGTGTTTGGTGCAGGAGAAATCATTTATTATCATTCTAATTATTATTCTTATCCTTATTCTTACTTCCAGCTGTCTTGTTGTTGTTATCAAACCGCAAGGTGCCTTTCACTTTCACACACACTCTCTTCTATCTCTTCTCTCTCCTCTTATTCTATATTCCTTCTCCCCCTGCGTGTCAATCCTCAAACCTACTTACTGCTACTCTTCCTCTGTTCCTGCTATTCCTCCTCCTCCTCCTATAAACACCTCCCCCTCTCTCTTCCCCCACCCACTTGGCCTTTTCCCCTTTCCCTTGTCTCTTGTCCCAGGCAGACCCGGTGCGATGCCTGTCGGATTGTTATGAAACATACCTTGCTCCAAGTTACACCAACATCCAGAGGAAAGGTTCGACAATGCCTGCACGGCGCAGTTACAGAGCCCCATCACGGAATGGCTGTTATGGGTGCAGGAACCGGCAGATCAAGGTAGGCTCGCTAAAGTTTAAGTAAAGTTGTTGTTCCTGCCTGCGGTTGTCCTTCGAATATTGGTCGCTCTTCTTTTCTTCGGCCCTTCCATCCCCCTCTTTCTTTCTTTCTTTCTTTCTTTCTTTCTTTCTCTCTCTTTTGTTTCTTCGAATTAATTTTCTTTCCTCTCTTCTCTTCTCTTCCTTATTCAAATGTTCGTGGTGGTTGTCTTTCTCCCACTTGCTTACACTCCCCCGGGCCTGCCTTAACCCCCTCCCCCCTCTTCCCCCTTTTGTTTCTCAATGCCTGAATGCCTTACGATGCTGTGATCCTCATCCTTCAGGCACCTTACCGTATGTCGGCCTTTGAAGCATAACCATTTCCCCAACTCGGAACCTTTCACTTAGACTTCAATCTATCCCACCGGCCTTGCCCCCTCCACCCCCTCCACCCCTCCCCCTCTTCCCCCTTTCAGTTTTCTCCACGTTAAGCTTCAATTGTGACTGGATGGCCTCAAAATCTCCTTTCCGTTACTGATTGGCAGATGCAGTGCCCAAAAGAACACCCTCAGTGCTCCCATTGCACCAGTGACAACATAATATGCCAATATATCTCCTCGTCTAGCTCGCTGGTGTGGCCCAGGGTCAAGTCCCGCTCCACCACTCCAACCATTCCGCCAGCACGGACAACGGCGTCTCAATCGCAACCCAACACTAGGATTTATGCTCAGTATCGCCTCGTAATGGACCACTCCATTAGTCCATGCCCTCCGCCGGGAGGCGAACTCAACATCCAGGACTTGGAACTAATGATGCAGTGGTGCACCACTACCTACCGTTCTGTCTCGCGCAACAGCACCGTGGAAGGAATCTGGCAGGGCGTGGTCCCACGCGAGGCAATGCGCCACCCATTCCTCATGCATGGTATTTTGGCCCTTTCAGCCCTACATCTGGCCTCCTCCACCTCCTCCACCACTGGAGCCAGCAAAGAGGAATATCTGCGCACCGCCAAGAGTCATCAGCAACAGGCCGTTGCGGGCTTGGCCAAGGTCGCCGATCATCTAGACCGGTCCAATTGCAACGCGGCGTTTGCCCTCTCCAGCATCATGGTCGTCTTCGCGTTCGCCTTCCAGGGAAACCCAATTCCCACCGCCAACACACAATCCAACGCCTTGGATGCGCTTATGGACATTTTCCAGTTTACCAGGGGCTCCATTGATGTGCAGGGCGAGATCATCGAATGGGTCGCGGATGGAGAGTTCAGCGCTCTCCTAGAATACGACAACTCGCAGCCTAAAATGCCGGATACTTCGCGCCTGGCCATTATGTCTCTCTCTAGGCGAAATACTAACTTAGCGACCAAGGATCCGACGCACGAAAAGGATGTGTATGATGCGACCATCAATCATCTCGGATTCTCCCTGGACAAGCTCGCACGGGGAGGTGAGACCATGATCATCGCCTTTCAGTGGATATTCCGGATTCCGTCGCGATATGTGGAATTGGTCCGGGAGCGAAAACCGTTTGCATTGGCGATTCTAGCCCACTACGCTGTCATCATCCACTCGTTGCGAGGGCATTGGTGGATTGGCGAATGGGGGACTCGATTGATCCGCGACATTGGCCAGCATCTGGATGCCGGCTGGAGAGAGTCGATCAGTTGGGTCATTGACGCCACAGGTTGTTATATCCCTCCGGTCTGAACAAGCCCACCCGGCTTCTCTCTCCACCACGGATGTTCGCCTGAGTCGCTTCACTCCACGACGCATGTCACCATAGCACTACGCACGATCTGCTACGCTGCAACCAGCGAAGCGCATGCACTTCCCACAGCATGGGAAAGTCGCAGCAAATCCACGCTCTGTCTCGGGGGCGTACAGATTCTCGGCAACTAGCGTGGGCTCTTACCACACTGAACACTGCGCTACTCTTCCTTTCCGCGATCGACTCTGGGATTCCAATACCTAGCCCCGCTCATTCAGGGATCAGAATCATTCATTTGTTCTGCCGACATTCCCCTAGAAGCAGAGTTTCGAATCCTCGACGCGCTCTCAACCTCCAACTCCTCCTCAACTGAACCGCCCTGTTCATGAGAACAAAACACCACTGGATCCCGCCATGACAGCCAGCCTGTCCCCGACCAGGTCCCCATACCAACCCAACACGGGCTCAATCGCAAAATAGAATACAGGGTGCTGGACATCTTAACGGAACGGCCATGACACATATACGAAGAAGTTTTTCCTTGTAGGGTTTTTGTTGAGATGGAATAGCGTTGATCCTAGCTACTTGACCACTACTAACTAGCCCTTCCTCCACCGGTTTCTCCCCGCCCGCACTCCTTATAGCATACATTTTGGCCTTCTTCGTTCTATCATAGCGACCGCATCATCTATAATATATTCTTTTGGATAGAAGGAAAGACCACCACTCGGCATGCATACATTCATATGACAAGAAGATACATTCCTCGTTCTCGAATTACGGTACCGTGCCGGTGTAGTTTTGTTTCTATTTATCCTTGGGCAGAACGGGACGGAGAAGGATAAAAAGATATAAATTCACGAGAATTCCGCAGGGGAAGGAGAGAGGGGGGAGGCTATTCCTGATAAGCCCGTGCATTCTCATTGGAGATATTTTTGTTTCCGTTTTAGTGCCATCACAAGCGAGAAGCATACAAAAGGCCGACGACGCGCTGCAGAACCTATGATCTTTTTTTTAATGAGAAGATAAGCATGCATGAATTATGGACAGGACAAAAGGAAAAAAAAAAAAAAGAAAAAGAGCCACCCATCCTCCGCTGTTGCGAACGGATCAGAACAAAACCAGTCAACAAAACAAGACAAAACACATTGACCAAAACCATACACCGGCGCCTGTTTCCTAGTTTTGACGTAAGTCTACATGGGTATTGATTAAATAACATAATGTGTGAGAAGGCGAAAAAGAAGAAAGGAAAAGGAAAAGGGGACCGGCTGCTGCCTCCTTGCCAAACATCTCCAAGATATGGCGAAGAAGGGAGCAGAGATTCAAAGAGTCGAAAGGAGATAAGGACCCCGAGAGGCCTCTTCAGGATCACCAGCAGCATCAGCGACATTGTGCCATTGACACCATCACCACCACCATCACCATCATCACCATCATCACCACCACCCCCGCAGCATATTGTCAAACTCCCCTCCTTGACAAAGAGTCGAAGCTGCCCATTAGTCAATCACAAATATACCACCCCCAGCATCCACCATCGAGGGTTACCAAATATCTAGTTATGTTTGGAGAAGAACCAGAAAACCCGACCGGGGACAAGGCGAGCTACCTGTCCCACAGCGCTCTCGTCCGCCAGTAGTTGCCAAATACCGACTGCCAACGACAAGCATATCAAGTTCCGAGGGAAATCAACTCCAAACGTGTGCTAGTCAACTGGACGAGGGTTGTCGCTCCTCGCTGGCCGGGCGACTCTCGCTACTGCTGAGAGCCCCCGAGGCCACTGCGGCCGCAGGAGAAGGAGGATGCGCCGCCCCGGCCGTGTGCTCGAGATCCTTCCGGCGATCCTTGGACTGGGTTCTCACGCGGGCCAGCTGGGCCTCCTGGGTCTTGACGCGCGCCAACTGCGCCTCGCCTTGTTCGCGCATGCGCTTCTCTTCTTCGGGGGTGGGGAAATATGCGTTTGCGACGCCGCCTGTGGGAGATGGAGATGGAGATGGTTAGCTTTTGGGACGACGAGGCATTTCCATCTCGACCGTAATCGGGAAAACAGAGAGAAAGAGAGACGAATCAGGAGCAAGAAGAAGGTTGGGAAAAAAAAAAAAAAACCCACCTCGTCCGGTATGATGCGGCGCCTCCTCCATGCGCAACGGCGGGGTCTCGACGTCCTGCAGTTCGCGCGCCAGTTCGGGATGTTGCGGGTCGTTCTGCATCATGTTGCCGGAGCCGCCGCGGCCGGTGGTGAAGACATCTTGCTTGATGGTCGGCGTGACGAGGTCCTTGGTGGTGGTGCGTGATTCGCCGGTGCCGGAGAAGATGTTCCCTGTTGGGATTTGGGGAACGATTTAGCTAACGGGTTCTTGGTTTCTTGCAGTGTCCAGTGTCCCTGAGGGGGGGATGACCGGGGCAGGAAGTAGTGAGTGGGGTCTTTGGGGGAGGGGAGATAGAAGACGTACCCGCGCCACCGCGACCATGAGAAATATTCCTGCCCATGACTTTTTTCCGCAGCGGGCGATACCGTGGAAGATTGTGGGAAATAATGTAATTGGTGACAAGGGGAAAAGAAAGTCAAGGCGCCTCGATTCGTGCTGTTTGCGAAAAGCAAGAGATTAATTGCACGAGACGGGAAAAGAAGTTGCGATCGGCTTGACTCGGTTCAAGGTTGAAGATGGAAATTGTCCGGACGGGTTGTTTGCTGGTGGTCGCTCGACTCAGCTTTCGGTTGGCGAACTGGCGAACTGGTAGGAAGAGGGGTGTACGAAGGATGATAGAGATGCCCCCCACCAAGGCCGTTGATTATTGAAACGGTGAGACACAACACGAGAGAATGGGAAGTGAAATTCGAAGAAGAGAAGAAATGAAATCAATGGTGGTGGATGATGCGATGAGAGCCAAGAAGCAGCAGCAGCAGCAGCAGCAGTTGCCCGTCGGGGGTCAAATGACGTCCGTTTTTTTTTTTTCTCTTGGGCAATTGGCAATGAAGTGCCCGCAACGGCTCCGTCTTTCTTTCTTTCTTTCTTTTACTGCGCCTATTTTGCTTCTTGCCCTCGAGGATAATCAAGCGGTACCTACCGTCATAAGGTACAGTAGTTATGTCTTAGGCATTATTACCATCTCTAAATCAACCGACACAGACAAAGTCAAGTAAGGTTGGGTCTTGATTTCCCCCCCTCCCCCGCTCAATACAACTGAGTTTTTGATTTTTGACTTTTGTTTTTATATATTTTTTTTTTATTTTTTTTGCTCGGGGAGTTTCAGTTTCTCTTACCTCACTGCTATTCCGGCCCTTCCAGGTGACCCGATAGTGATACTTAATTGAATTGTTGTACGGAGACAAGAAGTACAGGGGGCATTAATTAATGTCTGTCCACCCCCGCGCTTTCTTTCTTTCTAGACTGCCCAAGGCACCCTTCCAAATCTCCGGATCTCCTTCCAGCCGGTTACTGCTTTGGATCGAGGTCTAAGTGGATCCCTTTAGTATCCAGTATGACCTACCACCAACAAGCTTACTGCTTGGGTCCAGATGACTTGTGTTGAATATTATCTAAGTCCGAAGTCGAGTTGGAACTAAGTAGTTCATAGGCAGGACAGGATTGTCTGTTCCGGCACAGATATGTATTGGGTGTCTTCTACGGGCATGGACTGAATGAGGCCTGAATTGCGCTATGCCAGAGTACTGTAATGGTGATGATCAGTTACAGTGTGGTGCCCTATCTCCTTGGAGACTATACACCCCCCGCTCCCCCGCCATAGCTCGATCGCAGCTCAAACCCAGCCGTAGATGCATTTGGATCACCCGTGTAAAGCAGGGATGCGAGTTGAATTTAGAAAATGCATACCATCGTCGTCTTCTTGCTGAACACGGCATGCATGTCATGCCAGCCGGATGTAAATTTCGGTCTGTACTCTATCTAGGAAACTGCACGAGTAGTATCACAAGAACAAAGATCGCTGGAGGCAAAAAAATATAATAATAAAGATAAAAAAAGCCATACATGGTGACCCCGATGCGGTACCCCCTATCATATACACAAGTCCTTGATTTCCATATTAACATTCGAAAGTCGAATCGAAAAAACGCAAAAGTCATTCCCACATATATCATTATAAGATCGCTTCCTCCGTGCTTGCACTTGAGTTCCGGAATGGGGCAAAGCTGCCGGATCCCCATACGCTTTTTGGTCGGTGAACACCTTCCACCCAGCGGGAAGGTGGCTCTGGAAAATTCACATATCAAACCATCGATACGAGTCTCGTGTATATGCCTCCTCAAAGCCCATGCTCCAGACGCCGTGGGCGCCCTTGACGCGATACGGGCCTTCCCACTTCCACGTCTTCTTCTTCTCCTTGTACGAGACGGCGCCGACATGCTGCATCTGCGAGGGGGAGATGGCCAACCGGTCCAGCCCTTCCCTCCCGGCCAGCATCTCGATGACGCTGTCCACCGCCTTGGTGGGGACCTTGTCCTCCCGTTCGGCCAGGTACCGCAGGAGTTCCGGCACGTGGGCCCGGTTGTAGAGCAGGGCCTGGGAGCAGCAGCCATGCGCGTTCATGACATGCACGCCGGGCTCCATGGGAAACCAGGTGACGCGGCCGGTCATGAAGAAGAGGCCGATGAGGGCGGGAACGCAGAGGAAGCAGACCACCAGGAGGAAAGGGTTGGTGAGCACGCCCTGGGTGGCACGGACCTTGCGGCGGGCGACGAGGGCCACCCAGGCGACGGCGGCGACGGTCAACGCGCTCCAGAAGAGGTAGACGGGCCAGCTCTCCGAGTTCCAGCCCAGGAACTTCTCCGTGTAGAACAGGCGCACGTACAGCCAGTCCGTGGGGAGGAGGCCGCGCTGGCGGCCGTCCTCGATGCGGCGCACGCTCTGCATGGTGTGCTCGTACCAGTTGCGCTGAGCCACCACGTCGTCCTCCAGCATGATGATCCAGGGGGCGTCGCTGCGGTCGTAGCAGGCCTGCAGTCCCAGGCGGTAGTCCAGCAGCGACTTGCGCTTGATGTCCTTCTGCTTCTCGAGGCGGGCGATCGTCACGTGCGGCGCGTCCACCGTCTCGTACGTGAGCACCTCGTCCACGATCGTCGACAGCCACGTCTGGTTGTAGTCCGGGTGGTCGGCGGGGTCGCTGAGCGCGAACAGCACCTGGATGTTCAGCGCGCGCCGCTGCTCCGGCGTCAGCGTGTCCTGGATCGAGGCGACCGTCGTGCCGAGATTCTGCTGCAAGGGCCGTTTCACCGTCACGATCCCCACGCAGGCGGTCTTGTCCTTCGGCGGCTGGTATTCGCTGGGCGGGTAGGGGTAGCTGATGCCGCTCTGATTGTAGACGGACAGGTAGTCGAGCGATTCCTGGATGCGAGTCAGGCTGTATTTGGGGCGATAGCCTTCGGTGGATTCGAAGAAGAGGGAGCCCGGGTCGCGGAGGGACCAGAAGCGGCAAAGGAGGAGGAGGAATGAAAAGAGGATGGCGTAGGCGATCAGCAGAAGCCTCTGCTTCCTGTTGAAATGGTGGAAAGCCATTGGTCACATGCTGGGAGGAATTGGAGCGACGAGAGGGATGTCAGTAGACGGTGGCCGGGGGGGGAGGAGAGGAGGGAATTGAAGCAGGATATATATTAAAGGCGACAAAAGTGGGAGAGAGCGAGAACGCGAGAACGAGGGACACAAAAGAAAAACAATTGCAGAGGAAGGGAGAGAAGTGCGAGGATGGAAGAGAGATAAAAAGGAAGAGGAAGAGGAAGAGGAAGAAGAAGAGTCAGTCAGTCAGCCATGTTGCAGATAAGCAGCAGCAGCAGCAGCAACAATGGGATTAGTTTCGTAAACTACTGGCAGCACAACAGCAACGCAACAGCAGCCAGACTAAGCCAGGGTCCGTCCATCGCTTAAGCAGCACTAGTCCTGATAAGCGCCTAGTTTAGTGCTTGTCTCGGGCGTGTTTTTCTTCCTTCTTCGCCCTGCTTCGTGTTTTTGGACAGTGGAGTTAGACTCCCATTTCCAAGACCTTTCCAAGACTTTTCCAACTTGTTTTGAACCGACCGTCCGAGTGTCTTTTCATTCTCGGTTCCTGACCCACACTTCTCAGCCTTCAGCCTTCCCAACCAAGCACCCCAAACGATCAGGAATTACCCGATTAGGAATTTCCTACTCTACCCTGGGCCAGCGGTGTTCACTTTACGAAGAAGGATTGAGGCCGTGCAGACATACTCATACAATATGAGCATTGGCCATTGGAGTCACCTGAATCAAAGACCCCCGGATGGCTCCAGGCTCCATTTGCCCCTCCCAATATGGGCACCTGGCAGTGAAATTTGCAACCTGACCAATGATGGGGCGATGGGCGGTCGCTAAAAAAAGGGCGGGAGCAAAAGCTTAGCTTTTATTTTTATCAATCCCAAGTCATGGTCACCACTCTCTGCTTTGGTCAGGATGTCTCATGTGTCAAATTGAGGGGGGTCTTCGATGATGTCACTGTGAAAAAGATCATCAATTGCTCTGGTTCGGGGATATGGTCTAAAAAGGAGTAAGTTACTACCTACCAGGACCAGGATATGGTTCGGTGCAAACCACATGTCAGATAATGTAATCGCGATCTAGCCTTACCCAAGGTCCACTGCCTCGGCACTCCAGTTAACACCCCGTGGATGTGCGGATAACTCAGGACTATGGACATCACATCCAATCCATTAACTTAAGAACTATACATTCAAAGCAAATGTACCCCCATGATGAGAATATCAGTAAAAGAGATTTGTATCACAGCACCATGCTTGGCTGCGGGGTACGGGAGACAGTTAGCCGATCTGGCCGAGGCAAAACGTCTATACCTGACCTTAACTCGGAGATGAACCATAAGGATATAGGTGGATGACAACACCAGCATTATTTCCAGTAACTAGATACGCATTGCTTCAGTATACAAAGAAATCAGAAAAGCCTGTTGATCTTCAAGTCTGTAACCATCCAACCAACACCAAAATGGCAACCACCATCACCATCCCCACGTCCTACGAGACCCAACCCACGCAGCACATCAAGCTCTCGCACCACCCGGCCGGCTCACCCACCGCAACCCCCGTCATCCTCGTCACACTGAACAGACCCGAGAAGCGCAATGCGTTCACGGGCACCATGGCCACGGAGCTGGAATGGGCCTTCACGACCCTCGACCGCGACGAGCGCGTCAAGGTCATCGTCCTGACCGGTGCAGGCGAATCCTTCTGCGCGGGCGCCGACCTGGACATCGGGTTCCCTGACAACAAGCAGGAGAGGCCGATTGATCATCGTGATAGGTAATCACCCTACCCATGACCTTTGATCGAATGGCCGACACAACCACTAACACCCCACCAGCGGCGGTAGAGTCGCCCTCGCCATCCACCGATGCCGCAAGACCACCATCGCCGCTATGCAAGGCTCCGCCGTGGGCGTCGGCATGACCATGACTCTTCCTGCTACCATTAGGTAAACCCACGAGAAAACCCCCCCGACCCCCCCCCCCTTCCCCCCAAACCCACTAACATTAGGAAAAGAATTGCCCACCAAGACAGCAAATACGGCTTCGTCTTCGCCCGCCGCGGCATCACCATGGAATCCTGCTCCGCCTACTTCCTGCCCCGACTGATCGGCTACTCGCGGGCCATTTACCTCGTCGCCACGGGGCAGGTCTTCCCCCCGACCGCGACGCATTTCGACGGCCTCTTCGCCGAGACCTTCCCACAGCGGGATCAGGTGCGGGAGCGGGCGCTCGCGCTGGCGGACGAAATCGCGTCGAACGTCAGTCCGATGGCGGCGGTGTTAAATCGCGCGCTGATGTGGCGGGGTCCCCATTCGGCGGAGGATGCGCATCTTCTGGATTCGAGTGTCCTGGCGCATATGTTTGCTTCGGAGTATGTGGTTTCCCTGTTCTTGGCTTGGTTCCTTCAAAGGTTGTGGGGGAAAAGAGGAAAGGGGAGGGTTCGATCCCGGAGAGGGAATCTGAGAAACGGCTACCACACCCAATGAAGGCAGCAGGCGCGCAAATTACCCAATCCCGACACGGGGAGGGAATTGAGAGAGTGTGGTATGATAAGCTGACCTTTGTTTCTTTGTTTAGGGACCAGAGAGAAGGGGTTCGAGCTTTCTTGGAGAAGAGAAAGGCAAACTTTCGGGCGACACTGGAAGAACACGGACCGGAGAATTATCCTTGGTGGGCTGAGGTGCACGTTGATCGGAAGCCGGCTGCTGTGGGGGAGTCTAAATTGTAGGCTGTTCATGAGAGAAAGTAGAGCAGAAGCAGAGCTGGACATTTGGGAAAGGGGGCAAAGGTAAGAATGACAAGGCAAGCTAGCAGTAAGAAGGTAGTAGAAGAAGAAATCCATTTCAATCGCTCACGGATACTCAATATTCATACAATCAAATCCACCAGACTCGAAGAGAAGTCCCGTGCGGAGGATGAAACCAAATAAAACAACACAATGCCCAATCATGGAAAGGTAGCCCCGGTATGCAAAGTAGAGAAACCTATAGCTCATAAACAATTAGGCGATGAAGTGGCGTCTCTTGCGGTTGTACGCTCTCTGATCCTTCAGCCATTGTCGGTAGCCCTGGACACTGCCGATCTTCTCACCGTAGTAGTCGGGGACAGGGTTGGCGATGGAGTTGGACGAAGGGTCGACGCGGAATCGGCGGATGCGATCGTAGAATTGCTTTTCTTTCTGTGATTCGAGATTGCCATCATTAGTATCTTCCTCATCATTTTGCGCGGCTGTCACAACATGGGGAGTGTTGTGAGAAAGCGGGGGCCAGGCTCACCTGTAGAAGGGAAGGCTTGTATCTCCGGTAGATCAAGCTCCAGACCGAGTTTCCCACGAAAGGACCAAGGAGCCAGCCCGCCGCACCGCACGCAGCAGTCGCCATACCCAGCACCACAAACGGATCCAGACCCATCACCTGCGCGCCCAGGGACTCCAGATCTTGCGACGAGAGGACCTGCATTCCCAGGACCGTGGTGAAAGCCGAGGTCACGACCGACGAGGCCAGCGTGTAGCGACGCCGGCTGGCACGGAGCTTGAAGAACGAGTCCCAGTCCAGCCGCACGAGCTGCTGCCCGGAGGGGGCAGGCGAGGCGGCGGCGTTGGACTTGGCCCGGCGGGGAGCTGGACCGGAACAGAGCGAGGAAACGGGCTTCTGCGGGCGAGCAGCCGAGGTCTTCAGCGTGCGTGCGGCATTGTTGGCCGTCGCTGTGCTGGCCGTGCAGGCCGATGGGATCGCATGATACAATTGTCTCGTGAGGTTGCTGTTGGCATGTGCGAATGGTCTCAAGGTTGAGGTGGAGAAGCTTCCGCCGAGGACGGCGGTGCGCATCCCGCAGATTGAGGTGCTGTGCATGGTTGTCGATGAGGGTCGAGGGGATGGTGAGGAAGAAGACAAAGCTGGTTGTCGATGATAGGTAGACGAGTTGGATCAGGTTCGGCGGAGAAAGATGCGCGGATTAGATAAGCGGCGGCTGCATGAGGTCACTGCCTCGGGTCGGCCACTGCAGAAAGAGAACGAATAGTAGGTGCAACTGAGGTTATGAGGTACAGTACACTCCAACCTGAGATTCTTTCACTTCACTACGCCGGCTATGGTCTGAGAAAATAAGTCACTGGCTACTATATCTCCAGGTTGGCTTGATTTGTTCAGGTCCAAAAATTCTATAATTATGTATGTCTATGAGATAATGCCAAATCACAGCTCATACTCTAGAAAGCTTCACCAACGCTGTGCTATAAGTCTATACCGTCCGCTTCCCAAGATAATAGTGTCCAATCCAACCGCTACCATGTGCCACCCAATGCTGGTGAATGAGCAAGTGCGCTAGAAGTGGCCGTTCTGCTTGATGGCACCCGGGCGAGACTGGGGCTTGCTCGTTCCAAAGCCGTTGACACGTCCGTACAACCACTTCAGGGTGCCAGTACTCAGCGCCATTACCACTGCGCTAATAGCAAAGATCCCAATGCGACCTTCGAAACCCGCCACCTCAAAAATCGGATAAGGATATCTGGAGACATATGAGTGGAGGGATTCGGCTCCGAGACTGCAAGATCACATACATTCCGTTGTATGAAAAGCACCGTTCGATCCAAAACCAATACCCTATCGCAATAGTGCTGGATAACCCCAATGAGGGAAGAATAGTAATGGTCCATGGTGGTGACAAAAGCAGGAGATCTATCAGAAGGATCACTGACGGGGCGGCATGGAAGCTTATGTCTGAATTTCCCGGGGTGTTAACGATAACGGGAGTCTGTGCTGTACGATCTTTGAGACTCACCAGCATTCAAGGGGATGATAGCCCAGTCAGGAACGACAAGACGCTTGTCAATCTGGAAGCAGTATATCAGAGACACGAAGAGCAGGGGCGACAGGGTCGAGTACTGACCAAGCGAAGACCCCAGTATAAAATACTAATCAGCACCTCCAATGGCGTACAGCACATCGAGAGGAGGTTCTTGACGAGAAAAAGGCGGGGCGATAGTGTCACATCTGCGATAAGCCCACAGGCCATAGTGACAAGAGACAGGGAGAGGCCTAGCACGGTGAGGTACTGATAAGGAGAGAAGTCAGAAACCGATGACGACTGGTGCTAGCAACCACGTACTTGAAAATGCCAGCCATATGCTTCGTTCCTATCAGTCGCGAAGATAAGCATCGACATTCTCGGCTCCCGAGGCCATGGATCCGGGGAAAGACTGACGCGTGATTGGGGTTATCGTGCATACTAAGAGATTGATTGGTTAGCAGCTGAACCAAAATGACCTCAGGCGCACAGCACAGCTCAGGATCAGTAAGCACATACTACTTGAATGACCATATAAAGCTAGTGAGACCCAGAAGCTTTACAGTGGTGGAGGGAGATGGTTAGTGAGACAGTCCATGGAACCGTACTAAAAAGAATGGAGATGGAAGTTTAGACGTACATGGACCAGAGCTGAGAACCCTCTGGAAGGGCTGGCCATACATTGTAAAGGATGCTTTCTTTGAAGCGATTCAGCGACGGCTGAGGAACCCATAATGCCAAGGGTCTAGAAGATCGAAGATTTGAGTCAGGAGATATGCTCTAGAATAAATCAGAAAAAGATTTAGGTTGATATGACTGACAGGGAGTTGACAGGGAGTGGAATGATACTCAGTAATCCACTCAGACAGTAAGGTATGATGATATCACAGCTCCAGACTCAGGCTGCTTCCCCGGGTTTCCCGGGCCAGCACAACCTAAAGCAGGCTAGTGGGATTCTCACCCGACGGACTGACCGACTGACATAACTAAGGTAAGTTGTGGCGCTGCCTGCTCGGAGAAACCTCCCGGAACAATTGTCACTGAATAGACTAAGGTGACCTAACAGTGGAATTCCAGCCAGTCTTATCTGCCCTTCTCTGATTGACGGAGAAAGCCGATGACTGTGGTTATCGGCAGGTTATCTGGCTGATTGACTGGTCTACGCACTCCGGGTGGATATACACTAAACCTAAGGTATACTTTGGTGATGGATAACGAATGAGTCCCCTTCCTAGTCAACTCCCCCGTACTAACCAAGGCTAGGCTTGACTGCAACAATCCCCATTCATTGAGTTCACTCATTCACCTCCTCTTTTCTCTCTCCTGCTTCTCCGGTCCCCTCCATACCGTCACGAGCATTCTAGCCCTACGCATCTCGATCTATAGACAGAAGAATACCAAAGCATCGCTTCTAGAACAAATCCGCAGCTAGTTTGTCCCACACCTCGATGACGAAGAGCGGGTGTGGGTGTCTTCTTGATTATCGTTTCTTAGCATCCTGGGTCAAACACCCTACATCAACGCACCAGAAACACCCCCATTGGGACTCATCTCCAGACTCTAGCAAGAAGAGAGTGTTTTTCGACTACGTTGTCTGCATGGCGATCTTATTGTGCAGATCGATCCGAAGCTATTTCAAGATCCCGGCCATTAGCTCCCCTGGTCGTGGATTTCTTTTGCTGGAAATATTCCCTCAGCCAGATCGGATCTGAACCTCAATGCCTCGACCGAGAAGGCCCGGGGCCCCCGAGCCGAAACGAAGGTCGCGCAAGGGCTGCTGGTGAGGGTCTCCAAAGCGATCTTTTCCACTGCTGGATTTGACTAATCGTGCATGTTTCCAGGCCTTGTAAAGCACGCAAAGTGAAGTGGTTTGTGTTACCTTCTCTCACTTAGTTACTTAGTTCAAAGTACTATCGTAAGCTGATCGTTTTTACAGTGGTGAGGAAAAACCGTCGTGTCTCAATTGCCAACGCCAGAATGAATTGTGTGACTACCGCATCAGACTGAACTGGGGAGGAAGAACCAGAAGAAAGTCATCAGTAGACTCTCCGATATCGCATTCGAGCAGTCCTTCAGGAACCTATGGCTCGTTCTCACTATCACCGGCGAATACCTATCAGTCCGACAATTTATCGTCCTCGCACTCACACAAAGCCACATCTCCAGAGTCCGAGAACACAGCACAATTTCCAGCCACAGAGGAATTGCAATGGGACGTCGAGCTTTCCGAAGAGATGGCAATAGGGACTCCGGCAGCTTATCCTAGAGGGCTACATGATATCCATGAATCTCCAATCTTTGGCCAGACTCTTTATAGCTCCAACCGTACAAATGGCAAGAACTCTGTAGACAGCATGAGGGCTCTGTCACCCCGACAGGATGGGACATCCCCATGGCCAGACCTGCCCCAAACCAGCACCGCAACCGTCTTTTCTGCCTCAGCTCCGACATCCCTGGAAACCATCGTCTCTCATCCGTCTCCTGTGGACACGAATTCCAGTATAGGCTCTTGGGCCACCTTGAGTTTCTCGCCTGTCACGGCTCTATCGCGCCCGATTTCGTTTCTCCGGCACACCTCCGAATCACATCATGCGACACCCACAAATAATCGGATGTCCGATCATGGCATTGAGTTCAACAGCTATTTTTCCGCGGCCAACGCAAAAACCACTTATGACAACTACGTTCAAGAGACATCAGGCCTGGGCTGCTCAGACTCACCATACGCAGAAGAATCCGCCATGTCGTCATTGGACGCGAGCGAAGGAGCCCAACCTCTAGAGGCACAGCCATCCGTTTGCTCGGAGAGCTACCTCACCAAGATTATGAACCGTCCAATAGCCTCGGACCGCAATTTTAATGGCGCGCAGATGCCTGGCTCAAGCACGCGCCTGCATCAATATCCCGACACCTCCAGTCAAAGTATGGTCGCAACGGATGCCTCGAGCGCCGAGAAAAAGTGGCAAGCCTATCTCACAAGCGTTACAGACAACTACGGCTTGGATCGCGGTCGTCCTGATCTGGATTTGAATAGGAATGATGATCATTCCGCCATTGACATCAACTATGCTCTTGACTTGATCAACGCACAGAGAATCACCCCCCCAGGGTCCACCCCTCGAGGCGGCAACTTGGAAGGCGTGGAAAACGACACCTTCGATTGCAGCAAATACATGTATTATGCTTCGCCTGTACCGATCAACATCCCACGCTATTTGTCTCCGCTGCCACCATCGCTGGTCAAAACACCAATCAATCTGATGTACTTTCATCATTTTCTAAATCATACGGCCAAGATGCTGGTTCCGCATGATTGTGACGATAATCCATTCATATCCGTACTGCCGACAAGTAAGTCTTCGATTTGTCTGCACTATTCAAGTTTCTCGTCTGACTCGACCAAAAGTGGCGATTAGTGACTCGAATCTGCTTAATTTGACGCTGGCATACTCAGCTAGCCATCGGGCTAGATACCTCGAGCACCCGGAGCCGGCAAATCGGATTGCGCATTGGGTGAGCAATGTCTTCCCAACTCTACGCTTAGCCCTGGAGGACCCTCACGAAAAGGTCACCGATAACCACCTTGCTGCTGCTATAATGCTCCTGTCGTTGAAGATTGTCTCGCCCAGTACTTTTGAAGTCCCAATCCCATGGCAGAGCCACCTCAAACTTGCACGAGACTTGTTTTTCGCTCGGAAGGAGCAGATGGCTTACCCGGGAAACCTTGTGGGTGCGTTCCTGACTCGCTGGTTGAGCTACCTTGACATTGTTGGAACATTGTCATGTCGTCACAGCGAACCGCCCTCGCTGGATTATGCATCCGTTCTCAGCGCTTGCAGTGGTGTCGGGGAGTATGACGAGTTTCACATCGACTGTTTCACCGGGTTCACACCGAGGACAGGTCAGTTTCTCGCGCATGTGGGGAGACTGACTCACCAGTGTGACAATGAACGGTTCGATGAGTCGGGCATCTTGAAGCCAGACTGGAAACCTTCTCCTGCTGCAGTCGTTGCCGGCGAAGAACTTCTGGCGGACATTGAGCTGTTGGAAGCACACGCCCATGCCAACGGCACCCATTTCCATCTCGGTAACATGGACAGCCTTGCTATCGACAGGGCGTTTCGATATGCCGGACTTTTACATCTCCATCGTCGTGTGCTTGACACATCGCCTCTCTCTGAGCCAGTCAAACATGCCTCGGACGAGCTCCTGAAGGCAATGGTCGAGATCAGACACGGCGCCTCTGCCGAAGTGGGCGCGTTGTTCCCTCTGTTCACCGCTGGGTGTGAGACCACGGACCCTCATATTAGGGCAGATATTCAGGAGCGGTTCAAAATGATGGAAAGAACTGGAATGAAACAGGTGAGCTAACCGGATGTTGTGCCAAGATGATGCACTAACTCTTACATCTATAGATCCAGAATGCGCGTAAGTTAATGCAGCGCTGCTGGGACGAGGACCTTCCGTGGATTGCGCTGGCTGAAGGAGAATTTCTCGGATGATCGATCTGACTCTGTCCTGGTTATCATGTAAGGTTCAGCAAAGTACTCCTCATGCTTTGGACGTACACTCTACGAGCACTACTGTTCATCTTCTCTATCTTTATGAGGTTATGCATGAAATTGACTATGCGCCTTTGGTGGCCCACTGGTTCCGCGTTGAAATTCTCTTGGTACATGGATGTAACCGATTGGGGCTGTACTTCTATAGGTTCAAGGTGTCAAATGTTCTAAGTATGAAGGAGTATCAACTTCATCAGTATCGTTTCCAGCGTTCTTGTATGCCAGTATCCTATGATCTAGCTCCGTTTGGGTTTACCCCAACGTCACCCAGACCTCTCTCGTCCCTTCAATGCGAATCTCTCTTCAAGTAACTAGACACGTATATCTGGGCTTTCTAATTATAGTATAAAAGCCTTCTTGGTAACCGATCTGGTCACCAATTACTTGTTCACTGAACTGTGCTATCTCTCAAACAAGAAGCAACTGCACCGCTCACCGCACTGGAAGCACAACACTGCACTCGCTCAGGGCTCTTGTTCCAAAGAATCGCTCAAAATGGAAGGCTGCACCAAACAGCTCCACTTCTATTGCAGCCCGAAAGGGTATAGCGAGTTGGTGCTAGCGCTTCTACTCTCTATGGTGATTGTTCTCTGTTTACTTCTACATCGTCTTTTGTCATTGGCACTTTCATGCTCGGCAGTTAATTGCTTCCCAGCCTCAGCTCACAGTGAGCGGGGCGTCATTCACTCCTCCATTCAAAGGATGGACCCGCCGCACCCGGATTTGCAGGCCACGTTCGAGCGGCCACAACACGAGCATGATACCTGTATCCTTGACAGTCGGCTGGACGACATCCATGTCCCCAGCCTTGTGCCGTTGCCTTGCTCACAGGTGATTCGGCCCAAGAGAGTCAACCATCCGAGCTCTGCTCTCGAAGCTCATGTTGACCGCGAGCTCACAGTCACTCCAGCCCCGGCTCATTTGGTGCGTGTTTCCATGCTGCGCAGCTTAGCAGCTACATCTCCCGTGTGCCACAAGCTAAGATGCCTGTATGTCTCTACAGACACGTCCTTCTGCTGCTCCCGTCACCATGACCGCCACCGCCGCCACCACCGCATCGCAGCTCGTTCCGTGGGACGGAAAGATCAACTGGGCCCTGAATGGAGCCACCGTCTTCAAGGACTCGGAAGAGGAGCGCCGCGCACGGGTCAACCTGTCCAACACCTTCAACCGGGAGTCGCACTCGAAGCTCTGGGTGTTCCAGTTCGGCCTGCGCTACATCCCCGCCGACTTCGAGCACAACGTGTACCGCGCCATCAAGGTCGACAGCCTGCCGTCCGGGGCCGGGCTCTCGCAGATCCTACCCCTGATCCCGGGGGAGATCCTCTCCGCCCGCCTGCTCGACACCCGCACCATCACCGGGTCCAAGACCGCCTTCGTCACCTTCGTGCACCAGGCCGACGCAGTGGGCTTCCTGCACTCCACAAAAGGTGTCCTTCAGCTGAAGTCCGGGCAGGCCCAGGTCGCGCCGATCCCCACCCCCAGCTACCCCATCAGCGCGGACATGGAGAAGTTGATCTACGAGAAGGGATACACCCGGTGCATCCGCATCACCAACCTCCGGGCGTCGCTGAAGGGGGATATCTGCCGTGCCTTGAGCAACGCGTATCTGGTTCCGCAGATCGAGAGCATCCGTGATGGGCTGGGGGCCGGTGAGAGCCAGCTGCGCTTCTGCTCCATCAAGGCGGCTGCGGCGGCGTATGTTCTTCTCAGAGGCCATGCCAAGTTCGATGAGTGTCAGTGGGAGTTCGTCAAGGCTGTTCGCCCTAAGAACCCTCGGATCGGGATCTGGGACTAGAAGCGAGGGGATGCTGCTGCATGTTTCCTGGGGAGCTGTGTTTGTGGCGAGGGAAGTTGAGCAACCGTCCAAGATTTCGCAGGGGAGAAGAGGGCTGCTGGGATTTAGCGTGTATTTCAGATCGGGACGATACATCTTCGCTTGATGATGAGCAGACCTTTGGTGCCGTAGACGGTCAGGGAGGTAGACAGCTCAGACCGGTAAGAGGGAGAGGATGTTTCCCCTAACATCTGACATCCCCTCTTTTCTTCCGGATTTAGCACTGTCTAGGCACGAGAAGAGTATCAAGGCCGCCGTGAACGAGGAAAGCTTAACCGATTGAGGCTGCTCGAAGCCGCGGAGACAACCCGTCACATAAATGCCTCTCAAACCGAGGCATACCCCATCACGACCACCCTCAGCAATGAAGCACGACCCGCAGCCACCGTACCCATAAATGCCACCCAAAAGGAAGCCTGAACCCAGACCCATTCTACAAAACCGAGTTCCAAAGCAGATTTGCCCTTTCTATCCTGTATCCTCTATCCTCTATCCTCTCTACCCCTCCTCTCTCCTCCCTCCCCCCTCGCCCCCTCGAACCCCACATTCTCCAACCCATCGTAAACCTCACCCCTACCCCTACCCCACCGAATACAAATTCACAATATCCTGATCCTTCTTCGGCCCCTTGACCACATGCCGACTCGCCCAGCTAACCACCTCCCCACTCTCCGCCCGCACCCGGAACGCATACGCCGTGCGATACATATCCTTGATGCAGAGATGATTGCCCCTGGCCGTGACAACCACCGTCGCCTCCGCCTCGGACGGTGGTTTGGGTGGTGTGGGAGGCGTCACGTATGTCTCGTTGGTGCCGCTGCTGCTGCTGCCGCCAACACCGGCAGCAGCAGCATCCGCCCCGTCAACCGCCACCTCAAACTCCACCTCATGGAACAGGTAATCGGCCTCGGGGTGCGTGGCTGCGTCCTTGGTGACCTTGACAAACCACACGCTGATCCGGCCTTCCGGGCCGAGGCGCCAGATGTAGGACTTCGTCCAGCGGAGGTTTGGGCCGAGGGTTGCGGGGAGGGAGCCGGATTCGGTGTAAAGGGTTTGGGTTTGGGTCTGGGGTTGGGGGTCTTCGGTGGGTGTAGAGGCTAAAGGCGGGGCTGGGAGGGGTTGGAAGGAGGCTTCGCCGTGGAGGTCGCCGTGGAGGTCGAGGGGGTTGTCGCTTTGGAGGGTGCGGCGGAGGGTCCAGGTGGGCGTGCGGGCGAGCGAGGCGAAGAGCGTCGGGAGGAGGCGCGGGGAGATCGTGGTGGTTGGCATTGCTGTGCTGTGCTGTGCTGTGCTGTGCTGTGCTGTGCTGTGTATATGGAGATTGGAGTTGGGGGTGAGATGGTGGGGTTTAGGTCAGGTCATAAGGTCATTGTTGCGATGGTGGTTCTTGGGTTAGGAGGAGGAGGATTGAATTGAGATGATGATGGATGCCAGGAGTCAATTCCGGTGGGCCGTGCGCTGCTCCAGCGCTCCACCCCGCCCACTCTCCATCTCCATCTCATCTCCCATCTCCTCCGACTCCACCCTGCAACAACAACACCCATACAGATTCTCGGCTTCTCCTCTTAGCGTCGGAGATCTGTTGATATGTCCGGTGAGTATTGGGAAATATCCGTCAACAACCCTGCTTTTTCATTATTTGACACTGATCTTTACAGGGGTAAAAGTTACTGCATCGTTGGTTCAAAACGGGTTGAGCCATGATGAGCCATGTTGATTCATGACTTATGTCCAGAATTCTCGGCTTGGCATCTCTCCTGCCCTCTCTATATGATGGTTGTCTTCCGCCGTCTCAAGATGGATTTTCTCATCATCAAACACGTCCGCATCGAACGTGCCCCGGGGAGGAATGGCTGAGAAACGACTTCCGAAAGGCGCACCCTGGCCCGAGACCAACAGCGCGTCTGCTGTCGAGATCAATGCCTCCCCGGAGGACAATACCACTCAGGCTCCCGACTTTGAGCTGACCGGCCTACCGTTGGCTCTGGTCATCCTTGGCCTTGGTCTCGCCATCTTCCTCATGTCGTTGGACTCGTCGATCATTGCAACTGCCATCCCCCGCATCACATCCCAGTTCAACAGCACCGGGGACATAGGCTGGTATGGAAGTGCATACTCCTTCGCCATGTGCGCTCTGCAGCCCATTGCCGGCAAGCTGTTTGCAAGCTTTCCCATGAAGGTAAGTCCACTGAACACCCAATGGTAGAGCCCCACTGACCAGTGCAGGGGATGTTCCTTGGGTGTTTGGCCGTGTTTGAGCTTGGTTCACTGCTGTGTGCCCTGGCTGTGAACAGTCCAATGCTCATTGTCGGGCGCGCGATCGCCGGAGCTGGGGCAGCCGGATGCTTCACGGGAGCCTTTTGCATCGTCGCGGCAGCTCTCCCGCTTGCCAAGCGCCCCTTCTACGTGGGAATCCTCCAGTCGACGTTCGGCATCGCGACCATCATCGGACCTATCCTAGGCGGTGCCTTCACGCAGCACGCGACATGGCGGTGGTGCTTCTGGATCAACCTACCCATTGGCGCCATCACGATCGTGGCCCTGGTCTTCTCCTTCAAGCCGCCCCCGCGTGACTCCTCTACAACTTCTCCTATCCTGCATCGACTGAAGAGCTTAGATCTGATCGGTGCTTTGCTCTTCGCTCCGTCCATAATCATGATACTCCTGGCCCTCCAGTGGGGCGGAACCTCCTACGCGTGGAAGAGCGCCACCATCATCGGACTCTTCATCGGCGGCGCAGGGCTCGGCCTAGTCTTTGCCTGCTGGCAGGTCTACAAGGGCGACGGGGCCATGATCCCCCCGCGCCTGATGACAGAACGCACCATGCTTTTCTGCTGCCTCGGGGAATTCTGCGCCATGGGCGCCGTCTACATCTCGATCTACTATCTTCCTGAATGGTTCCAAGTCATCAAGGGCGCCTCCCCGATCAAGTCGGGCCTGATGTATCTGCCCCTGGCCCTGTCGGACGTGCTCTCCGCCACGCTTACGGGCGCCTCCCTCAAGTACCTGGGGTACCCGAACCCCTACCTGCTGCTCGGCACGGCGCTGATGAGCATCGCCACGGGCCTCTTCTCGACCTTTACCCTCACCACCTCGCACGAGCACTGGATCCCCTTCCAGGTCCTCCAGGGCCTCGGCGCCGGCATGACCCTGTCCATGCCCTACGTCGCCACGCAGACCGTCCTCGACCCCGCCGACATTCCCGTCGGCACCTCCCTGCTCCAGTGCTTCCAGTTCTTCGGTGCCGCCGTCAACCTCGCCATCGCCGAGGCCCTCTTCGACAACAAGCTGGTCACGGGTCTGGGGGATCTCGGGCTGCCCGCCGCGGAAGTCGAGCGCATTGTCAGCGCCGGATCTGCGGAAGTGCGCAGCGTGGTTCCCTACAGTGGTCTGCCTGGCGTGCTGCATGCCTACAACCACGCGCTCACCACCACCTTCTACGTCGCTGCGAGCTTTGCCGCTCTGGCCTTTCTGCTCTCGCTGGGCGTCCGGTGGAGGAGTGTCAAGCCGCCGAGTTCGAAGGCTATTGCTGCTGCTGCAGCGAATGCGGACGCGGATGTGGAGGCTAGGTGATCCGGTCTTGTTGGTGTGGTTCTGTGGTATAGATTTTGTTTCCAGATGTGTATTTTTGATATTTAGAATTATATATGTCATTTAATGATTGTATACTAACGAGAATCTACTGGAATCCCGAGAGGAAGTAATGACATTTAAGCGGTATTGCTCAAAGATTTCCCGTGCTTGGTCAAGCTCGTACGGTATACTTCCGGGTCAGATTGTATGTTACGCAGCATCACAGTTAGATCAATCTCCCCCTACCTCCCTTGCCCACATTCGGTCTTGTTCAGTGAGACAGGCCAACCACAAGCAATCGCATCTAGAATCCCCTGTACAGATGGAATACAAAACACATGCACAAGGCAGGTGCCAGGGAATTAGAGGGTGATATTCAGTATTCGCATTATGAAGAAGGCTTTTGAGGGATTCTAGAAAGCGAATCTGAGATCATCGACTGCGTTCCCTCTACTATGCCGTAGGGGAGGGCGAAGAAAGGCACTCGCAATGGCATATTCACAGAGGCCTGAAGGTCTTGACCCATTATGTGAACCCCAGTCATAGCGAGGGATGGCCATAGAAACCCGGAGGCGGAGAGACACCCCTCTTAGATTCGGCGAGGGAGAGCCTCTAAGATACTTTGACACAGTACAGTACTTTCAGGTGATTTGAACTGCGGTTAGAGAGAAACTGCCCAGTGGGTTTTCCTATGGTGGATCGCCGATAAAGGTTCGGGGGGAGGTATCACCCATCTGAACAGGTCCGTCCACATCACCTTTTGGCTGCGCTGCGTCCTGTCAGCAAGCACGACAACAAAAGGATCACGTCCGATCATTGATATCCAAGTTCAGAATATCATCCTCGAGACTCAGGATGCCCATCGCCCAATTCGCGTTCGGCCGCTTGCTGACCGTGACGAACCGGCGTTCGGAGCTGTTGTACGGTCCACCGCCGCCGCCACCGCCGCCGCTCTCCTCCTCCGGGGGCGGGGTCCACATGGACACCGGCTTGTTGAGAGTCCTATCGCGACGAGTGTACGGTGGCCCGCGGCCGTGCGCGGCGGCGACGACCCACGCATTCTCGCAGCCGCGCGCGATCGCGTCCGAGGTGCGCCAGCCGCTCAGCCGGTTGAGGTCCAGCAGCTCGGTGACCAGCCACTCGCGCTGCGCGGGGTCTGTGTACTGGACTCCCGCAAAAAACAGCGGCACCGTGATCTCAATCAAGCACGAGCCCAGCGTCGGGCTCAGGCTGCCGGCCTCGAGGTGGAAGGACTGCGGGTAGTAGACGCCCGCGGCGATGCGGCCGATGATCTGCGCGTATTCCGCCGTGGTGGCGGCGGCCACGCCCGCGGCGACCATCATCGCCGGCGGCATGCAGGGGTGTAGCCGGTGCAGGAGGATCCGCCCCGTGTAGTAGAAGCACCAGATCGTGGCGATCGTGTGCGTCCGGTACTGCAGGGCGGGGCCGAACGGGGTCGAGATCGGCGGCACCGAGTCCGCGGGTAAAGGCATGAAGTATGGTCCTAGGGCCGGGAGGAATGCGTCGAACGCCGCCACCATACTCTCCCATTCCTTCTCGGCGTCGTGGTACGAGGTATCCTCTTCTTCCTCTTCGAGAGACTGATGGTGGTGGTGCTGGGATTCCCGGGTGTTGAGGAACACGGCGGGGGCGCGGCGTGGGCCGCTGGACGGTGCCATGCCGTACATGGGCGGGGCGTTTGGGCCGGAGCCGGTGGGTGGACCACCACGGCGCATATCTGCTGCACCGGGTGGAGATGGTCCTGGAGGACCCCCCGGGCCACCAGCAGGAGGTGGTCCTCGGCCTGGTGGTCCGGGTGGTCCTCTGGCGAACCGGGCCATGAATTTGCCCAGATTGGCATCCGGGCGCCACTCCATGCCTGTAGTCTTAGCCGTTCTCAGTTTTCGTTTCCTGTCACGATAGCCGAATTCTGCCAAGCGACCTAGAAGTAGCCACAGGTGGTCTGCAGACCCGTAGATAGCGTCGAGCCGGCCCATACCCGCGCGGGGAGGGCATTGACCCCATTGGGAGTATGGCATGCTGGGTTGTGGTCAGTGTCGTAGCTCGAGATAAGTGAGGGGAGGGGTCTTATGACTTACAACAAAGGGCAACCGCTGATGATACTTTGCATGACATCTTGCTTGCAGTACCACCAGTACAGGTCACACTGGATTCGATAGTTCTCGATATCTTTCCGTGTGAAGTGCTTGTATTGACGAGGGTTCCCACTCTCATCGTTAATTTGCCCGAATTCGTCGTAGTTTACGGCTCGTCCAAGTAGAGTCCCGATGAACTGCTCGTTGATGCTACTTTCCTTCTCTGCGAAAGGGTCGTCGTCCGACGTGGAATCTCCAAAAAGGTAGCTGTCTGTGAGTGCCATGACCGGCGGCTGCATTTGCTGTCGCTGAGCCCATACTCTCCGTCGCTGGGCGCGGAGCCCACGAGTCATGCCAGCAAAATCAATCTCACGCACCAGTTGCGCCGACCCTGCCACGTGGCTGTTCCATTTCGAGTGATCAGCACCCATCACCTCGTAATATCCTAGAAGCAGGGTAGCAGCCAGGGTGGTGATCTGCTTGCGGCGCGTGGGAAGCCCGACAGCCACACCGACTCTTCTCAGAGCGTAGTGATAATGCTTCAACGAAACCGTTGGGGGTGCTTGTTGGAGGAAGGAGATATGTAAGCTGCTCAAGGCGAGGATAGCTTGCAGCAAAACTTGACTCTCGAGAGCCTTAAGAGGGAGGGTATATGTCCATAGGCCCTGCTGGGCGGTTGGTACGGGGGCGCCAAGCATGGTGGATGGGTCGATCGGATGACGCTCGAAGACAGATAGCGATGGTCCGGTGGAATGGATGAAATGCAGGAAGATTCGGGCCGTCTTCGGATTGTTCAAGGGTGATGCGCCGTATGTGGGGATGTACGAGCCGAGTACATTTGGCTCATTCAAATATGTAGTGAAAGAACGCAGCTGCCGCTCGTCGCGATTGGCAGATGCCATAATAAGGCTAAGCTGGTTGTAGTTTTGCACGGAGATCTGGTCTTCCCGTTCCCCCTCTGATTCACCACTGTAGTATTCATCCTCACCGTCATCTTCCATATAATCTCCATACGGCGATGTTGATGACTGCGAGAGAGGCACATGCGCAGACGAAGCTGTTCTAAGTTGGTCTTGCAGTAGATTCACACCAGACGGTGCGGTATTTGGCAGCCAAGGGCCTCCTTGAGAATATGAGACAGCGTCCGACCATGAGTAACCTGCCCCCAGATCAGTCGACAGCTGCCGTCTTTGGTGATCAAGGAACGCGAGGGTGTCCGGTGGTGTATAGCTTTCGGACGAGTTCTCCGAACTCGAAGGAAGGTGGACCTCTCCTGAGACTGCTGGCTGAGGAGGAGTCCTTCTGATCCCAGGAGCCTCGTTCAGTGAGAAGGTAGCGGTTGGATTCCGGGTCTCTGCATCGGGTGGCAAAGACAGCTTTGGAGCTATAGCAGGCTGATCTGGTCTGTCCTTTCTTTGCTGAGACACCGAGTGCTCACTTGAGACTGGTGCTGACTGTGTCTGCACGCTGAAGGCCGGCTGCTGGCCAAACCCGGGACCTGAGATGCCCAATGGGTTCTTGAAAATCAGGCGGGGCCCGTAGCCTTGACAGTCGCGTTTTGATTTCACGCAATTATGGCATGTCGGCTTTTCTTCGCCGCACTTGATGCGACGTTTGCGGCAAGCTATTTAGCGATGTTAATGCATGGGACGTGATTTACGGCCAGTTGCACTCACTTAAACATCCTGTTTTGGTACGCTTTTTGGGAACTCTTTGTGATGTTACATTGTTCGATCCCGCCTCCGCAGGGTCCAGTTGGGCGCCGTCTGCGACGTCAGGACCCTGCGCTGTGCCTGGCCCACTGATAGACAGATTTGGCGGAGACTGCCGGGCACGGTTGGTGCTTTCCATGGCGATGCAGAGTCGAAAGCGAGACCAATTCCATAATCATCGCCAGCAGAGAGGAGACCGACCTGACTTGACACAGATAACGTGCACTTCTACTTCCGAATGGAATTCGTCGCACGACTTCTGTAGCATCAAGCTTGAATGGGGTTGATTTGCAGACCGCGGTGGAGGTCGTCAAAGAGGTGAAATTCTGATTGGCCTGGAAATATGTGACGGGTCGGGATCGATGCCTTAGGTATACGCAGTCATGCCGTGCTCAGCTTTGCTTCTGTCACCCCAAGAGCTGCTACATGTGCAGAGAGATTGCTCACGGTGGAATTATGCCAGATAATTTGAGCAACTGGGGCAATGGGTCCTACTTATCATATCTAAGGCTTTTTTTGGGGATTTTTTTCCCAGGCATATGGCCTGATCACTGACCTGCTCGGTACGGAGTAGAAAGTCTAGACAATATCCACAATCTGATTGATCCGAGGCACTTCCTTGGTAGCAGTCTCCAGTCTCCAAGATCCTGACACCAGCCCACAACTACTCCATCTAGATCTGACAGATTGTCTAAGACGTGTATATGCATCAAACTCTGAAATCAGAAATCCAGCAATTAGCGCCACGAGTAATAAGACAAATCACCGTAGTGCCCGAGACACTTCTCGAAAGCCTGATGGAAGCGACAAGACAAACAAGACAAACACAGAACTCACCGCCCTTGAGACGGGCGGCAGAACCCCCCGAGGACTGATCGTCTCCGCCTTTTTTTGCCAGAAAATTTTAGAGATGCACGGCCGGGCAGAACAATAATCAACCATTTTCCAAAGGCAACCTATCGCAAGCATGTTCGCTGTACCGGGTTGGTCGCTCGAGAACTCTGCTCTCAAGCAGCAGAGTGAGCCTGCTCCTGAAAAGACAAATGACAAATCATCCAAGCCGAACCCCAAAGACCGAAAGCGCAAGCGGGAGGATAATGTCACCAAGGGAAATGTGGACGCTATGTTCCGCCGGCACATTGAGGGGGAGAAGATCACCCCCTGGGCCAGGAAGAAGGCTGAAAAGGAGGCCATGATGAAGGGCGAGAAGAAGCAGGACCAGGCCAAACCCCAGACCGTCGAAGCGGACGCACCGCGACCAACCGACGCCGCCGCCGCCGCCGAGGAGGGCGAGAAGCCCAAGA